GAGGATATACGAACCCAAAGTAAAAGTACCAAATAATGAGGACAGAACAGAAATTTCCGTTGTAATTTAAACAAAGCCTAATTCTCTATTGAATGAGAAAGTTTAGAAGTCCTTACTTAGTCATTACAGGTTACTTAAGGTGATACAAGGACAGATAACTGAATTGTAAACAAAAAAAACTAGTAAGCATTACGATTTAATTTAATTTTAGTAACATTTTGATTTGTGAGCTGCAGAGATGGACAAGTAGATCTCACAAGTAGACGACATCAGATCCACTTGGGTCTGCTGTTCTATGGATTTACTGGAGCGTTAGGTTTTAGCTGTCCTTCAAAAAACTCCCCTTCGCTTCCAGTGAAAACTTGTATAGCTTACGTAGGTATATAGACGAAGGCTTAGCAAGGACTCATCGGGGTCCTGGGACGGTGAACCGAGGACCCATTTGCACAAAGCTCCAGTCACAGGTCTAAGACTTCCGGTGAAGCGAACTTACTAATCCCTCCCACTCGCCTCTTCAATCCGAATGAAAAGTACACCATCATGTGTACAGTTTTCATCTGTAATTTTAATCGACGGACATCAAAATGCTAGGGATGCATTAATAAAGCAATCCTGAGTTTACAATGAGTCAAGAAAAAAATACTAGCTATAACATGTGCAGATAAACTGGGTCTTTTAAGAATCCTTAAAAATTTCATACGGTGTAGCTGAGACATAGAAAAGGAAATACTTCTGGATACTGTATCGGATTGGAGAAGAGGAGGCGCATGAATAATTGCTGGTGATGAAAAAGAAACTTGATAGGCCTTTAATCTTCAATCTGATCATGTGTATTGCATACCTACAACACACATTCAAACGAACACAATGAGACGTGTAACCTCTTCAAGGTAGCAATATAGGTGATTTTGATGAGGAACCGGCTGATTGGTTACATACACGGCCACTTTCCATAGTTGTATGGCTAAAAATAAGGTATGAAATAGTAAACCAAATGAAGAACTACCACAAAATGTAAGCCAAGTTAGGTCAGCGATCGTTTTGCGCACTGTCTAAGCAGACTTGGGGCTTCAGCGAAGACGCTTGGACCCAAGACAACGGTTCAGCAACATGAAAAGACATTACCAAGGGGCCGCTCATGAGGAACAAAGGGAAGTCAAGAAAAGGCGGCTGCAGGAAGAGGAGTCAGACGTGGAATTGGCCAAAAATTTACCCAGAGAGTTCATCTGTGAGATATAGGATATGAAATTAAAGGTAAAGGTATAAGTGGCCCAGGTATAGGTCACCAGTGTGTATTAGTAAGTGTCGTGTGTATTTTTCGTATCCGTGTCTGAAGGGGAGGGGACTGGTGACAGGCTTGACCACGGGGATACCAGCCAACACACAGACACGAACATCATCCATGTACCCTAGGATTAGATGGGAATGTCAACTGGTACCGGTAGTGAAGAAGATTACGCTTCACTAAACCCACTTGTAGCGACACACTCTTAGGTGACATTGGATGAAATGCGAGCACAGAATTTTGTGAATAAGTGGATGGGCCATATAAGTGGGGTTGAAAGAAAGAGATGCGGCACTATAAGGTAGGGGTGAAGAATGGTGCCACAACGATTGAACAGAAAATTGGTCAAGGGCTTGCCTTCACTTGTCACTTTGATAAGTTGTAACTCTGTGCCTACGATGGCGCCTCGCACTGACGATGCCGACGAAACGTTTGGGAATGTACCCAGCCAACGGTCAAATGCTGGAAATTACCAATGCTATAGCAGAGGACACGGGACTAGGTACGTTCCATAAGGTCGCCCTGACGCTCCGACCAAGTTGCGAAAACAAGGTCTAACCAACACTATGAAGCTAAAGAAGAACGCGATCAAGTAGAGGGCCACACCATCTTGGTCTTCATGTCTACAAATTAGGTAAGTTTGAAGCCTGCCAGCTTTCTTGCCATAGTGCTTGGCGAAGTATTCTTAAAAAATGCTTTCACGCTCTGGCACTGTCTATCATGACGGGACTGCAGGGATCCTAATACGGATTGAATGGGTAGCGGAATAGTGAACAGCGGACTTCGCACAAATCCTCTCTCGCAAATGAGGTTTACGATGAAGCCAATTTGCAAGTCCCTTCCATCTAATGCTGCCTTCTAGACTAAAGGTTTGACGTATTTTTGTGATTTTTTAGTGTTTACAGACCTACTTTAAGTTAGAAACCCGGCACTGTGTCATCTTCCATAGCTTTCGTGTCTTATCTCAGCATCGTCCACCTCAGTATCGGAACCAGACGGCGACTGGTAAGAGTGGAAAACCAAGTCAATCGTCTCCTCGAATGATTTCCTATTGAACAATTGTGATGGCCGTACTCCGTCCTTCCACCACCGGAAACTAAAATACCGACGATTTGGGCAACCAGACCCCGCGTGAATTTCACCAAAGGAGTAATTAGGTGCCGGTTTCAACCAGTTGTAGTTTTAATGCTTCCGGTGAAGTTTTTCTTAAGCATGCTTTCTGGTTCTGCTGATGCTTATTATTACGGGAGGTAGGGAAGCTTAGCAAAGATTCATGGTAGTCAAGGGAACAGCCACAACGCCATGTCAACCCTCCCTCTGACTCTGTTGAGGCCAATCTCGCAACACGAATTAAATGCAAGACACCAATCTTTGTCGAACTCTTGCCTGCCCAAATACCACTGGCAGATTACACACTATTACTTAATTAAATCCGAATGATGTGAAATCAATGAGTACACTAGCGAGTGAGCGAATAAATTAGTCTTTTAGCCCGATTTTAACGGGTCACAACAACCTGCTTGCTTCATCTTGTTTCTCCCGATCATAACAATACGTGATGGAGCAAGGTTTATTGCCTTGTTTCTTGCAGGCACTACTTCCAAGTATTCCTCTCATCCAACCACAATCATCCATCTACACACGCACGGATCCCGCGAGCGATCCCTTCCCCTAATCGTCCGCCAGTTTAACTCTCCACCCATACATACATCTATCTGTACTTCCCGTTAACTTTGCGCATGTGGCTGGATCGGTCAGATAACATGTCAGCATGCACGAACGCCTAAGACTGCTTTGGTCAGTAGGTCCGATTTGTTGTACAGCCTAAACGATTCAGAAATTCCCCCCATGGAATAATGTAAAGTGAAACGTCATTATCTGACCACATGCAAAGGTGATTTCGACCAAAGACCTTGGCAATGGCATCCGTTAGGCACCGCTTCGGCAACACTTCACCTACAAGACCTCTACACAGGTGGAGGGGCATAGATAAATGACACTTGGCCGGGGTGGCAGTCATGCTCTCCTACACGAAAACTCTGGTATACAAGACTAGAAAAGAGGGCACAGACAGATGAAAAGAGACTAATATACTCATTTTGCCGATTTGGGTAGGACAAATTCTGGTGACAGAGCTGGCGGTATCCACTATACCCATCAGACTTCGGACTCCCGACGGCCCCGAACAAGTGACGGCCAGCGCATCCCACTCGTCCCAAGCTCGAGCATCACTGGGGCGCTGTGGAAGGCTGGAGGGTAAGGCACGTTAGGGTGAAATCGCATCGTCTTTCCCATACCTCTTATTTGACATTCTATGATACGTTATGCAGGCGCCTAATTTGTACTTGATTCTGTAACGAGATTACTTGGGGGAATGTAAGAACGGAATTTCCTATGCGACGGTAGCCTGACGGCGAACATATGGCCAAAGAAGCCTACAGCAAGTGCAAGACATCGATTTTAACTAAGACAGTCGAACGTTTGTTAAAATACCAAGTCTTAAAGATCAGCTATTACCCCCGCAGCTCTGAGACGAAATTTTTTGAGTCCTTTAAGAACGTTGTCACCCCCTGGAATGACTAAAATGTCTACTTCTCCTCAGCACCGCTGGTGACAGCACCTCCAGCGGGACTTGAACCGTGGACATTTGGGTTAAGAGACAAACACCTTGTCCCTTAAATTATATGATAAGCTTGACTTTTTCTCAGTTCTCATTATTTTGGGGGAAAATTGATTTTCATATGGTCTTTATGAGGTAGCAAAGTGATATTAATTGACACATCAATAATTTTATCCAATTCCTTCTTGTCAGAGTCGCTTTTAGTCAAAAAATATATCTGTCAAAACTGTTATACCCTTAAAAGCTCTATTTTGCCTTATTACTCTCTAAAAATATTTTTTTAATGTGGCAAGATATCAAATTCTCCCGATTTGCAAATTAAAGGAGCCTCTAAAAACTAGGTTGCTAATCGTTATTCATACGTAGTAGTATCAATCTGTGTAGATGTATGCAATTCATATAAACTCTATATACAGTTAAGAAAAATACTATCAGTAATAGAAGAATACTATTTATAATAAATTAAAAATAAGTATGAGGTAAAACTTTAAATATATCTAAATTTGATTGCAATATATTGAGTTGGCATGGTCTTGTTTTAACAACTTGGTCAGGAAGACAATATCACTTTATGAAACATACCTAGTCCTTCGCCCTAATAGTAATGCTACTCTCCAGCAACGGAATGATACATTATTACATTGTAAGACGTTTCATAGGTATCGTAGTAGGAGTTTTCCGTGAGAAGCGCCAGCCTTAGCACTGAGTAAAAACTTGGCATAGTGACGAATATCTCGGTGCCATGCCCACATCATATTGGTCTTCATATATAGGTCAGACCAAATCGATACCACAAAGGAAGACTGCAAATATCTTACTACATAGTAATGTATTGATGATAAGAGTAAAGCTGAAGTTATATCTACAACATAAGCATTTATCGTGGGGATTCTGAATCCGCTTTGTATATTTTGCTCTTTTTAGCTGGACAACAAGGCGTGTTTGGTTTTCAAGAGCTTGAAAATCCTCCCGCCTCCTTATTCTTCTAAACACGAGAGTCATGTCTAAACTGGGCTGCTAGTTCGACCTTGTCCGAGCCCCGCTTGCGCATTTGGAGTGACTTAAACTCATGACAGGTATTGAGTCCCTGTGTTGGGGTCAGCGAACAGAAGGGGCAAGCTCTAGTTTGGTCAAGTGATGAAAGGTCATTTTAAAGAGGCTTAAACCCCAAGGCTATAGTGCTCCTTAGCATGTTTGTGTTCTGCTCAGCGAGACAAAAAAGATGAGAAATCCGGCTCTTCATGGGAAATACAGAAATATCGCACTTCTAATTTGACTCTGGGGCTTAAAAATTCTGGGCTAATCTCTGATTTGGTGGAATTTTCTTGTTTCCTGCTTCCGTCTGTCAATACACCTAGCAAATCGCTCGCTTGCACTCCTTATCTAAACACTGTTCAGAGCATCCGGATTCGATGATGCTCTCCCCTGTATTGACTATTTCATCCCTGCCTTAGTGAGACAGCTAACCCCCCCCCAAACTGGTCCTCACAGGCTAATCTCATACACTAAATGCGAATAGTAACATTTCACTACACATGTTTTAAAGAAGCGGAGTATGAAGAGGCTTTATATGTGTGGAGTGTTTATCGTTAAAGTGGCCAATTTTATCGCCTTTATTTTGCGCCCCAACTTGTGTATGAATTACGGGAGCATGTGAAAAATAATGGCCACTTGCCGGTGTGCCGGAGGCGAAATAACTTGGAGTATTTCTTCAACTTCACAGCTAAGGCCGCGTGTAATTTTCCTGACTGAATGGCCTTTTAGTATGACAAAAGTCATACTTAAGATGACACTATTGCAGACAACCCTTTGGCCAACCAGTCAAAAAGTCTCCGAGCCCACTTTGAAAGGCTTGTTTAACTGACGATTGGCACACAAGTTGTACAAGCTGACCCGTAGGGGCACCCAAAAGAGAAGTATACTTGAGGACAAATTGTCTCTCCTTGGGGAGGCACTTCATCCAGTTAAGATCCAGTAAGAAGAGTCAATACAACGAGGTTTATGAACCTCCTTTCCTCCTTTTTCACGATCCGTCCTAAGGAATTAAGAGCAAGCCGGAAAGCCACTCATATTGCCGGGCTAACTTCTTCAAGTAGTTGAAGTTGTTCTTGTCTGAGTCTGAATCCAGTCCTCTTAAGGATGTCTGTCAGAATGGCATGTTAGACTGTGTCGGATAATGTTGGCGATTCTATGATACTTGCGAATTGAAGTTTATACTTTGCTTAGTTTTTGTCATCACCTCGGCAGGCTTCAAACTTCACAACTTCACACTTAGGTTCGACTGCTGTGACGATATTGAAGAGAAAGCAGCATTGCCATCTAACCAAATTGCGTCATGATTGAGTACAAATAGGGGTTAGGATCCG